AATGTTCTGTGATTCTGTGATTCTGTGACTAGTCTGGAAAAGCACATTTTATACACAGAACTTAAATAACACAGTTACTTTGCTAAATGTCACACATTGATATCTTGGCATAAAGAACCAAATATGTCTTAAGAATAATGGTGTGAATACAAGTGTTAATCTTTGAAGCTATCAACTTTGGTCTCCAGTGTCATGTTAGTTTAATTTGACTCATTTCACTACTTAGACTACGTAATTGAGACTTTAAACGTTGTGTTTCATCTCCTACGTTATGCAGCACTCTGCAATATGAACCATCTTTTCAGTATTGAACATGTTATAGTGTTACTGTTCCTACTATGAAAGTAGTTTTTCAAGAGTAAATCATTTTTTTATGAGCATATCCTGTAGCAGATCAAACATTTGTGGAAATAAGTATTTCAGTATTTCTATGCCCTTTATATCCTAAACCTTTTACTAACTACTTTGTTTGCTTTTTTTAATGTTTTATATCAGAACACCAATTTAATAAATTGTGGACTGCGGTTTCTTCAGTTTTATTAAATAATGTACTTTTTTCAGATCATGGGATGCGTTTCTTGGATCTGTTATGTAAAATGTTCTTTTTCGTTCTAATTAAGTGCTTGTATAAACATACAACTGAAGCTTATGAGTGAGGGCAAGTAACTGTGAAACGAAGTTTTAATTTAAGAATTAATTGTATCTTATTAGGTTGTAATAAAATAAGAAAAAAATGAGCTTTTCTGGTAAACTGAGCAGGCTTGTTCTGGTATATTCAATGTACTGATTTAATGGCTTATGCTGATTGGGTTTTGTGTGTGTTGTGCTTTTTTGTTTGGTTTGGTTTGGTTTGGTTTTGTTGTTTTGGGGGTTTTTTGGTAGCACATTCTTGTAATTCATATGGAAAATAAACATTCTGATTTTTCCAGTGTCTTTCATTGCTAAAGGACACTCTTTAAAGAAGCTGTGAATGTAAATGGGTTTGAAGAGTAAGGTTGAGGTCTGGAATCAGAATAAATAGAAAATTTCAAGATTTCATGCACTTCTACCATAATGCAAGACATCAAAATGGATTAAATACCATGCAAGTTCAGTAGAGCTATTCCATGGGAGAAGTATCTTTCCTTCCAACTGCTTGAGACATATGAAATAAATATGCTGAAATGACTTGTCAGAGCTAAAATACTATGTGGCAGCCCTATTTTCTCTTATGGTAGTTTATTGCTCATCTGTATCACAATATTAGCAAATGAATAACTGGATGGAAAACTCTCTTCCTTGTCTTGCTGAACTTTTTGAGACTACCAAAAAAAAAATGCTGAAGAACAAGACAAATGCTCAGTTACTGGTTTTGTCAGATTCTTGAGAGTTTTTCTTCTGAACTTACTAAATGCCCTAACCATTGGACTACTGATTCTTCTTGGATAGACTTCATTCTTGTTTTGGCTATGAATTCCACGCCTTTTTTTGACCATTTGTTTTCCCCTTACTATAAAGTCCAATTTTCTCATTCCAAAATGTTGTTAATCCATTACAGCTAAGGTACCTTTGTCACTGCAGGAGTACCTACAAATGGTGCATTACATTGCATCTCCTTAGTTTCTTAACATTTCAGTGTGTTCTTTTTGGAATTTTATTGTATGTTTTATAATATGCCTTGCATGTTTGCAGGATAAGTAAATTATAATTATGAGAGGATGCATCTCATATCATCATTTTCTATAGCTGACACTAGATGATGAATTTTCGCATGCAAATTATATCTTTAATAGTCCGTACTGAAAGGCAGCTGTTGTTTAATAGTTTACCTGATGTTACACAGGTAAATTGGTGACTCTCGATCCCTGAAGTCTGTCTCCTTTCTTTCACACCTGAGGTTTCTTTGTCTTGTGATCCATTTGGCTTGCTCTAGCTCTAAACCATAGTGCAAGACATTCTGTAGGCTATGAGGTGAGCTGCGAAGTTCATACTCAAATAGTAAATGGAACCTCAGCTAAAATAATGGTATTGTAACAAAATTTCTATTGTAGTTTCCAACTATAAAATGAGGATAGCATCACCACCCAACTTACAGGGAAGTTGTTTGAGATTGTGAGGTACTGAGGTGCTATAGTGATACTGACCTAAGGTCTAGGAGAGCAAAATAAGAGAAATGCATTTCATTTAATAGTGCCTAGACTTCATTTAATTTCTTTAATGAATCGAGTCCATAGATTTTTTAAAATAATTTTCTGTTAGATTGGGTTGTGTTTTTTCTGCATAGTATTAAGTATGCATATAATGGCCTAATATTTAAATGATAATTCCAGTGCAAAGCTCCCTGCTTAATGTTAAGCCTAAGGTGACAACTTATTTGAACAAACTAAAAGTTCTTTGTTCAGGCTTTCAAGACAACACTACATTCTGAGCTACTGGAATCTGGAGTATCTGTGCACCTGCTTTTGTCTACTGTTACAGAAACCTTTGTGAATGATAAATGTAGGAGATATTAGGCATAATTAATATTAATTATCATAATCATTGATCGTGTAGAATCTTGGGCAATTGACTCTTGTTGCACCCTTAATGAACACGAAGTCTGATATTAAAATTAATCAGTACAAAGAAGTGGCACAACATGTGGCCACTATTACCAGGAGTGTTAGTAATACATTGTATGATGGCAGTGTCATCTATCTGTGTTATTATAGAAGTAAATGAAAAAAACCCCACATATTTTTCTAGCAAGGATCTTTGCATAGAATATTCCATTTTAGTTCACATGCTTTAAGTTCATAATTTAAAATCATATAGCTATTTAACAGTAGAGTTACTCACTACAGGAGATCTCTATATTTACTCCTGGTCTTACAGGTTTAGCAGTGAAATAAATTGGATCGTTCATTATAGTAAATAAGAAAATACAATTTGCCAACAGAAGATGGGACTCTGAGGTGGTGCTTTAGTCATGTTAATATTTAGAATGTATAAGGAGGGATTGATCAAGAGATTAGGACGTTAAACTGAAGTCTTGAAAATACAGATTTGATCCCTGCTGTTCTAACACTTTGTGTAACCTTTGCCATCTCATTTATTCTTCGTGTGTCTAAATTCCTTTTTCCAGCACTCTGCTGTTCCATGAGGCTTTTTTTCCCCATCCAAAAATGAATGAAATTTTAGATTTGAAAATGTTTGGTGTACAGAGAAGTTTGCAGGTTTGACATTTATATGTTTAAAATAATATTAGCAATCCCATTCACTTTGGTGGTGTTAACTTGTTTAGTATTTTTGTTATAGAACATTTATCAGATGTTTCTGGGTGAGTTTCAGGATGTGAATGTTGCCATACCAGACTTTTCAACAAATGAGACAGTCGAGGTAGGCAGCAAGTAAGATAGATGCTGCTTTTTGTACAGCAGACAAATGCGGTTGCTTGAATTTCAGGAAATATTGAGTTAGAAAAACTTTGAAATTATCTTTCCTTGGGATGAGGTAAACAAGAAATTTAAATATTATTTCTACTTTTGGAGTATTTTTAATTTATATAAATGAGTGCATCCTAGAAAAAAAATCTTTCTCTTACAAGGTAATATTTTCCTCTGTAAGTCTTTATGCAGTGTACAGTGTGTTCAAGGTAAACGCAGCCCAGTCCTGATATAAGTGATGACTGCCTTCAGCAGAAGTTATCCACTGTCTGGTGACTTTAGAGTAGGATTTCCTAAGATTTCAAAACAGTTAAACGGAGTTTATCCAGCTACTTTTTGTTGTCAAAAGCTATGTTTCTCTACATTATCTCCTTTATTCAGTCTTTTACACTACATAGGTAGCACAGTAACTCTGTAGAAGTAACCATGCCTTCTAATTGCATTCTTTTTTTTTCTTTTTTTTTCTTTTTAACTAGAGTCTGTGTGTATTTACGCCACCAGGAGCTAAAGAAGGACAACCACGGCTCATTCCTGCAGGGCCCATTGCACATGGCACTACAGTTTCTGCTTATGTAGCCAGATCCAGAAAAACGTTGTTAGTAGAAGATATTCTGGGGGTAAAAAGCTTTCTCTTTTTATTAAGATGATTACAGCATGTTCTTAGACTGAATATTTTGATGCTGAAATGTTTGTTGAGCTGAATGTGTAATGATAGAATTTATATCTGTCTTGCTACCAAGAAAATAAATCTGAGTTTGAAATAGCTGGATGGAATAATTGTAGAATATCTCATTTATAAAGTTTAAAGATTTTTTTTTTTTTGCCTTTTAAAATTTTTTAGGTTGTCAGATAAGGGAAGTAATGGAACCGTGGTCACTTGGAGAGAAAAAAAAAAACACATCAGTCATAACTTCTGTCCTCCTGATCTTGAAATACTTAGTGTGCTAATTTCAAACAAGACAACATCCATATAGTCAATCAAAGTTTGATTTAATTATAATGCAGGACTCACACTGACAAGAATGTCAATCAGTATTCCGGATATTAGACAGGATTTTGGTCTCTGCTTACACTAATGTAAAGCTGGAATACTTATCAGTGGACCTACATGAAAGGCACCCTAATGTAATCGATATAAAAATTCAGGCCTTTGTCTGTAAAAGGATTCAGAAAATCCTAAAGGGATATTCTGATAATTCGTGGCACACTCTGTGTCTGTCCTTTTTATTTTTTTTAAAAAACTTCATCTTGTAGTTTCATCTATGCAATTGTATGAAACTGGTATTTAAACTGCACTTCCATGAGAACACTTCATGATCAGCTAGTTATGAAGACACTAAGGAAGTTTAAATTCTCCTTGTCAGTGTTTTCTATCCTTTTAAGTTTTGTCCAGATTAACAATCTTTGGATATTTCAGCCAAATTTTAAAAACTATTTGTTAAAAAATGTATGACCTTTATTTGGCAAACATGGGCTATAAACAAAATAGCAAATGCCTAATGCGAGTACTTTTAAACAGAACTGCAGAAGCAAAATGCAGAAGCTGCTTTCACTGTAGTAACAGTTGGTGCTTTCTATATACCCTGAGCTATAAAGATTTTATATGTTAGATTTTTCAGTCACATATGAAGCTTTAATTGTTACTAGTAGTTTCCAATTAATATAATTATATCCTTGTATATGAGGGTTGTATGTTTTGCTTTTACATTCATAATAAAATCAGAGGGATTGTGGGGAGAAGTTTTCAAATTTTTGTTGGTTTACAGTATCAATGATTATTGACCGAACAGGAAGGTTAATTTTGCTGACATGGTTTGCCTTCATGTGATTTTTGGAGCCTGTCAACAGTGAAAGGGAAGTGCTTGTAGATAGACTTGACAGTCCTATTTTTTTTTTTGTTTTGCAAGAATTATGGAATAACAAAGTGAAAGCAGGAGGCTCACGTTACAAAGTGCTTCCCACTCTCTTCTCTGTCATTTGTTCCTACTCATTCAGATAGATTGTCATTTTAGTAATTAAGGTAGAGATTACTTGCTATTTTCTTTGAGATGGGAGAGATTTTGATCAGTCTTGAAGGAATGTCAATCTTGCTTAAGCACAGCCTGGAGGGAACATCTGGTACGAATCAAGTACTGAAGGACTGATGTGTAACAAAGTGGGTCTTGCACACTTCACTAGTTACTGCCTTAAGAACTGTAACATCCAGGTGGTTTCACAGGTCTTTAAGAGTTTTCATACTTAGGGAACTGAAGCTATAAAGCCTTGGACATTCCCTGTGTAGATTAAAAGCTATGAATTTGGGCCTTCTATAGCAGCTACAGGATTATTTTAGCATTTGTTCCTATAACTTTTGCACCGATTTATTCAGGATGCGTAAGCAAGGGAAGGAGAAAGATTCTTACTTTAATGAATAATTTTTGGAAACTCATTTCTCTCCGCGGAAGTTGGTTGAGAATTATAACTCTGTATAACCTAAAGCCTTATCCTCAGGTTTCCACCTTTGTTCTCTTGCAAGAACTGCTGTCTGATTCTTAATGTTGAGATCTGAGCAGTCCATGTCATAATTACAAATGCTTTGGGTGATTTTTTTTTTCTTTTATTGCATTTTTCTAGTAGATGTCTTAATACTGTGTGTAAATTATCATGAGAGATATGAGTTTTAGTGAATTTTATCATTTTCCTGCAGATGTTATCAGCCAGGAGAGGGAGGAAAACGTCTGTATATCTTTCATGTTAATGTTACAATATTTACGTTTTATCAGGTTATGTTTACGTTTTCTAGGATGAGCGATTTCCCAAAGGTACTGGACTGGAATCAGGAACTCGTATCCAATCTGTTCTGTGTTTGCCAATTGTCACTGCAATTGGTGATCTGATTGGTATCCTGGAGCTTTATCGTCACTGGGGCAAAGAAGCCTTCCACCACAGTCACCAAGAGGTGAGCTCATGCCCAGCCTTTACCATGACCCATTAAGATGCCTCTCACATCAAGATGAGAATATATCATTCATTTCTCTCTATACCCTTCCCCAGGGAAGGGAACCTGAACACAGAGGTTAGAACAAAATGGGGTGAGTTCTAGCCAGCTCTCTTGTCTTGATAGTGCACCATGGAGCAGTTCAGCTTCACTGAACAGGAATTACTCTTATGAAAAGAACAGAAAATATGCAGACAAGAAATATTAAAACTAGCCCTCCCAAGGAAGGAAAACACAGTAATATTTGTCAATTGTATATTCTGTTTATCAGTAACCTAAGTAGCCTAACATACATAATGATGCTCATGCATGTATATTAGTTGGGCAGTCAGTGTTGCTTCAGCCTCAGTTTGCACCTGGTATTTTTTCACCAGTAAGTAGAGGTCATGGTAGGGGACTGCATTAGTATGGTGGTGCCAGTGTCCGTGCTCACAGAACAAAGAACAGGCATTCATACAAAACCAGGCTTCATTACTTCTCCTGCTTACACACAATGTATTTATTTTTTTAATTATCCTATTACCTTAACCAATCTACAGTTCAGATAGGTCTCAGACATGCATTGTTCTATGCAAATATGAATCTTTTATTTACGTTTAACAATGAAATACCTTCTGTAACTGAAGTTCATGAATGTTCTACTTGGAAAAGACTGGCTGATAAATAGAAGTATTTCATTAGTAAATTAAAAATATTTTAAGGTCACTTTCTGAGTGTTCTAAAGCATTCTTTTCATTTTCAGGCTTCAGAAAGCCTTTGGATACCATTAGCAGTTTTTATAAAATGTGTGCAGTGTGTTCTGCTTAAAAAACTATAAAATTGAAAGAAAATACCTTAGGAGGGTATACAGCAGCAGACCTCTTGCACTTCTGTCCTCTGTGTTCCTATAAAGCTCCTGTGTTTCAAGGACAGGAGATTATGCATGGTAGCACATCTTACGTAACTTCAGTTTACATGACATTTGTTTGAAATGTTGCCTGGAAACTGTCATACTTAGTAGTCTTGAGCTGAGGGATCAGGTCTGGTTCTTCTGCCACCAAAATGATAGTGAAAGAAACAGTGCCTGTTTACAGCTGGAAATAGCTGTGGCTGAAGAGATACAGCCCCAGAAAGTTGTTGTGGTATATTTTATTTCTATGGCAGATACCTTTCAACAATGTACATAATGTAATTCTTAAAGCCCTTGGCTTATGGTGTGTTTGTTTTGATATTGTTTTTCTGAGCTGATGGGTTCCCAATGCCACTTCTGAAGAGCATTGGTAAGCATTTTTTGTCATAGAAAAAAAATGTGGCTTGTTCTTTTGTGACTGAACTTGCCTTACTAAAACTGAAACATTCACAAGTATACTGACTTCCACAGAATAACTATCTTCCCACAAATTGTTACTGCCTGCCTGTCTTAAACAGCTCAGTCAAATTACTTAGCAGATAGACAGAGAAAACAAGCACGTAACTGATGTGCAGTTTTCAAGGTTTCTTCAGAATTATTCTCTTTTGTTTCAGGTTGCAACAGCAAATCTTGCATGGGCTTCAGTAGCAATACATCAAGTACAAGTAAGTGTGGGTGGGTTTTCATTTTTTCATTGTGTAACCCTTCTGCCAGAACTTGATAAGTAGGCACATGGATTATGATCAAATTTAAGTGAGGTCATTACTAAAACATTAAAAACAAACCCATTCCCTGAACCTGGGAAAAAAACTAGCTCAACAAACATAAAAAATGCTAGCAGTTTCCTCACTTGGAAGTGTGGATCAAATAACTTAACAAACAGTATTTTTACTAAAGGAAAAAGAAACTTTAACAAAGTAGATAAATAGTTGTTAGAGTGGAATTATCACAACTTTGCAGATTTTTTTTCTTGTAAGAAGGCAACTGCTAAGCCAACTGGTTGCTTTTCTCCTGCTTTGGTCTTCAGTTTGAGATCATTAGGTGTTGCTGGTTAAGCCTGCTTTAAGCCATCCTTGCTCACTGCTGTGTGATCCTGTAACTGCTCCTGCTAAGGATGTGTCATGCTGTCCCTAGTTGGAGGCTTAATGAAGCTCCACACAGTGCAAGCTGCTCTAGCAAACCCCAGCAGCTTTGCTAATAGGTTTTGTTACTTCAGCTAATGGAAGACGGTAACACTGAAACTGAACATATTCCGTCAACTCATGCAAGATGCTAAAATAGGTTCTTCTGTCAACTCACAGGAGGAAGTTTGTGACATTCTTTTTTACAAGGTGTCTTTCTTACACTTGACAAAAGACTGGCACAAAGTTTCCTGCCTTTCCTTTCTAGACTCTAGTATTTGCCACCTTGGTGCTGGAAGTCATTGACCTTGTTTAGAATGGTCAATTCACCCTGGTGCATTTAGGCAGAATTAGCTGGCATAGACTATTGTACGCCAGTAGAATTGCAATTGCACGCAGTTGTCCTTTTACTTGGTAACAATGACTCCCTCTTTAACTGGGAAGTCTTTCACAACTAACAAAACAAAACAGGAAAGCCTGTCCATCAGTCATTTTCATTTCTCTCCCCTCTGCTAAGCAGAAGGCTTGCCCTTCCCAAGCTTTTGCATGAGAAGAATGTAAGAATATTGATCTGGTGCTGGGCTGTACCTATCAGGCTTGCAGCTGGGCTTTAGCAAGTAGTGTATATCAAGAAGTTGTTTGTAGTTACCTAATTACATGCAAGAGTAAGGCTTATGGATGTAGTTTCTCATATTTTGCATATTTATTTATATATGCATTGCACAGATGAAAGATATAATTAGCTCTGAGTGATATTTTATTGTTTGAAATATAGGAGCATTAATGGTTTGTTTTCTTTTTTTTTGACCTCGGCACTTGCTCTAGTAATATACAGGTGTCCAACTGTACTTTAGATACACCTTTATGCAATTAGGTGAAGTAAAAATACAGTTCAAAGCTTTGCTTCTTCTAACACTGCTTCTAAAATATAATATGCACACTATTTTTCGTGTTCATGTTCATGCTGATTTCTCCCAAAGATGAGCATGTATCATCTGCTACTTAGCTTACTTAAAGCTTGCCTGATGTCAGTCTTCAGTTGTGCCTACATGCTATTTTGCAAACTGGAAAAAAAGCGGTAAGAGTATGCTGAGGAGGAAAGCACACAAAAATATTCAACATTCTGAGAAGAGCTGAGGATCTGTATAATGGGATGTAGTTAAGTTGATTTCATAACCACATTCAGTGGCAGCCTTTGAGGCAGCATGAACAAGTGTAACAACCATCATCTTTCAAAGAGTCTTAAGAAAGGTGTTACTTGCATTTGACAGTTTTAACTCAACAGTTAGCTAAGATTGAAGCCCAGCACACAAATCCAGCTTTTAATTTTATGCAGTCCCATAACATATGTATATACTAGTAGTGGTATTTTTTTCATACACATTGAATAGGTAGACTGCATAACTTCAGTTTTCCTCTGACTTGAGTGTTCTCCTTGAGCAAGTGATAACGTGATCTGTGCTTCCAGGTGTGCCGGGGCCTTGCCAAGCAGACTGAACTGAACGACTTCTTGCTTGATGTATCGAAGTAAGTGTAACTTGCACTGTAATCTCATGAGTTTATTTTGATGAGCTTTTTTAACTTGGCTCTTTCAATTCACCTGTTTTACACTGTATCTGACAAACACGTGTGAATGCACACCTTAGAGGTTGGGCAAACTTCACCACAGGGACAAGAACAAATGATGTGGGTGGCAGTGGTGTATACCTGTTAAACTCTTTTTTTTTTTTTTTTTTTTTTGGTGGTGATGCAGAAGAAAAGTTAACATCTGATTACACCTTACAGAATTTTTTTACTCTTGTCTTTTGCATGAGTTTTTTTACCTTCCTCCTCCCTTCTATCAGAGTTAAATGTGACCCTCTTTTGAGAAGTGACAGAAAGAATTGCCATGTCTTTTTCTGGCCAATTTTAGAAGATTTGAAAGGACTTTATGAAGTTAGTTCACTTGCTTCAGCTTCCTGCTCCCCCTTCCTTTTTCTGTTACATATGTATATGTAACAATTCTCAAACTGATGAGATTAGAGGATGTCCAAGATTCCTGTGGCGTTGCTCAGGAATGCAGGCAGCTGAGGTGCCCCAGCTAGAATGGGGAAGGATACATTGCACAGAGAAGTCAACTCCTTGCAAGAAAGGCAAGCTACTGGTCTCCAGATATTTTTACTAGCTTTTTTTTTTATGGGCTGGCAATTTACTCTTGGTTCATAATACTGAAATTGTTTTAAATAACTTTTTAATTATTTTAAAATTTTAAGATTTAAAAGAATTCAATAAATACTGCAAATATTTAATATGTATTTATCTAAGAAAATACCTCTCATACAGCATTATCAGTTGCTAAAATTGCTTAGTTTTAACAAAAAAGAAACCCTATATTTTAAGCCACAGAGTTGGGTTATCGTTTAATAGCAACTTTATGAACTTCATGTAGGTAAAGACTTGCACTAGCAAGAAAATAATTTGCTCTTAGAAATGATCTGTAGCTTTTCTTACACAGAAAAAGGGCTTCCTATTCAGTGAGGAATGCATGTCACTGAGACATGTTCCTTAACATTTTAGAAAGGGCATATTACGCAGTGGTCCATCTCTTCAAGTCCCTGACAATGTAAGAGTAAGGTATTATATCTTTCTTTTCCACTAGCCGCAAACAGAACTGAGCTGTATATATGTTCAAGGCCATGGGACAATGTCTTTCTGTCTGCTGGGAACATTGTGATCCGACGATTATTAAGACTTGGCATGTGGAAGTTTTAGACTTCTTTTACTAATAAGTTTGACCTTTATCTTTCAATGTTCTTGACTGTCCTTGGACAGTTACTACTTTGCTATGAAACTGAGATAGCTTTTTTTTTTTTTTAAAGTCACAAAATCAGTCTTTTTCTGCAACTTCAACGTGCTACACCTGGGTTGATAGAGAAGACTCATTAAGAGTTTTATAAAATGTTGCCTTTTAATTTGTGTTAAGGGTTGGATAATATGACGTAAATTTAGCTACAGTACTTGGTTTTCATGAGTTATTAGTACATAGTCATCTATGCATAAACCTAATGAGATCTTTTAAAAGCATTTAGATAATATATATCAGCAATGGAATAAATTATTTTTTTTTAATTCTGGATTGCTTTGTTTTCAGTTTTCTTATCCTTTTAAAATTTTCAGTGTGTAAAGGGTGCCAAAGCATTTTGATACATTCTTGGTGTTGCTCAGCAGAGGCCTATTCTATCCATGGTAGGCAATGTTTTGTAGTCTTTTCCATTTTTACAAAGAAAATTCTACATGTCATAGAGAATATTCTACAATTCTGTAATTGTAGAACAATGGTTTAAAGGGACCAAGGTACGACCATCTCTCAATTCCCTTGTGGTGTAGGAAGTCAGTCAATGACTTTTGAGGTGCAGAGGTTTGTTCTCACCTATTGGGGCTCCACTGTTAAGCTCTTGTGAAACAAGAGGCCATGACAGCCATTTGAGAAGCGTTTGACAAATGCCAATATTTACTGACTTCTCTTTCTTTGCAGAACATATTTTGATAATATAGTTGCAATAGATTCTCTACTTGAACATATAATGGTGAGTTGTCTTTTTCACTTCTAAGTTTATTACTCTTAGTTATTTAAGTCCTTCATTCTCCTTTCCTTGAAGTAAGACATTACATCATTGAAATACATGAGCTCTTTATAATGGACATGTAATATAAACAGCATTAACATGTCTCTATGGAAGAAGGTGGCAAAGGTCAGTGTGGTTTTTCATTGTTGCAACAACTTTGTTTCACAGTTTTCCTAAGTAATGCAACACGACTGTCTCTGAGCTAAATAGGTACTATTGTGTTCTAGAGAAGGTCTGAAAATTGTAACAGAAAGGCTTCTGTTTTTATTTTTATTTCAGCTTATTGTATTGATTCTTTTTTCCTAAATTCAATTTGCTACATGCTGCAAAACACTCCTGAAGAAGTTATTGTCTGTAGGAAGGACTAGAGGTCAGACATTACTCCTAGAGTACTTGTTCCAGTTGCTGAATGAGATGTGAAAGACATGACATCACTTCTGCTTTGCAAGAGTATTTACCCCCATCACTAGAGTGGCAGTCAGTCAATATTTTATAAAACCCACTGAAGCCAAGGCCATTGAAATAACTAAGACTGTGTTTAATCAATGAATTACAGTAGTTCAGAAATAGATAGTAATTTTTGAATAAATTTTGAATTCAGAATTATTTCCTGAATAGTATTTTTAAATACCAATGGACTGGTTGTTTGTAGCACATTTTGAGTGTTTTAAATAGGAATATGTTTTTTAGCTTTAGGTGCATTTATTACATGCCGTAGTTCTTTCTCCTGAACATAAATCTTAATCAGCTCTGTGATACTATTGCTTCAATTGGCATATTAAAAAAATTACTCTCCAACAGTACTCTGATCCTTGCTCTAATCTTTGAAGTGATATTCTTAGCTAGATTATTCAAACCCAACAAATTTAAAACACAAACAATATAAAAGTGATTTTATTTAGAAACTTGAATTAGTAATGAAAAATATTATGCAGTGTTTGCCTTGTTCTAGTTAATACACGGTGAAGAATTCTGCACATAGGACACATTTCTGAACATTGACTTTTCCAGTTTAAATGAACTGCTTAAAAATAGCTTGCCATTTTAAAGAACTGGTGTAACAACATATGGCATTGAGAACAAATATTGATATTCTTCCCTGTTCTTCCTTATGAATAGAGGTCTGGTGGAAAACATAGTTGGCAGTAAAATACGCTTACTCTTTCATCTTCTTTTCCAACACTTGTCTGCATCATGATTCTGTAATTTAACCTGCATAGATGTTTCATATTCGGCTTCCTTTGTAAGCTGTAGCAGTTGACTGTTTCTTGGGCCAATTAGTTGAATTATGTGTTTGCACATTTATTGCCATTTTATGGGAATGTGATTTTATCATTATGTGGCTTATTCTGTGTCTCACCATGAGAAAAGAGTGACACTTAATTTCACCTCACTATTTCACCCTTTGGTGATTGTACTTAAAGTTTTATTGTTCCTGTAATAATAAAGAAAAAAGTACAGGGATTTTAGCATTCTTCTCATCTTTATTTTCCTTAAAATCTCTCAGCAAAGTTATTGGTGTAAGGATATTTTAGAATATAGAAGCAACGAGGGGAAGCAGAACAAGTTGCCTTGTAAATTTTCTTACCAGTGTGCTTGAGTAGTTACAAGCAACCTACCCAAAAGGTGGGCTCTGGCCTCCATATTATCAATGCAAAGCATACCTTTTGTACTGGTACTTCCCTTCAGCCACTGGCCTGGATTCAGGCTCAGGGCTTTAGAGAAGTAAGACTTTCCCATTCCATTAACTGTTTCTTTCAACTAGTAGTGTTTAAGCAGTTATTTTTGAAAAGCACAAGTCATGATCAAGGTAAGTTCTTGAGTCATATGCATTAGAATATAAAAGCTTAATTAAATTAATTAATAATCAACGCTGTGCTGTTGATTTTATAAAGAAATCTGATGCAGTTTCTGAGTAGGTGTAGCAAAGCATTTACAGCACCTCTTGTCCTTTTTGATACAGTTTACATTCATTCTGTTTTAGGTGAAGGAATAAATTATGTGACTATTTGAGATCTTTAAACTTCTTAATGCTTCCAGTGGGAAATATTTCACAACAGTTACCTTTTAGTTTGCAGTTTCCCTGACTTTCTGTTATTCTGATGGAGCAAATGGAGAAGAAAACAACAGAATCTTTATAGCTGCAATTTTTTTAGAAATATTTTAGGTTTTTGTTTTTATTTTTAAAGACAAGAGAAAAAAGGGAGGGGGAGTTAATACTTTCACTCATGTCAAATCCTAAACATCCCACCTGCATGCATTGCACACCAAGTTGTAGTCAGCCTCTTTCTGTGGCTGAATGACTAGATAGCTATTGTATACCATTTTAAAAGGTTGAGCAAGATCCACCTCAGATCATGTTCTACCATGCAGTTGCTATACTTTCTGAGCAGATAAGAAACATAGGAGACATATCTGAATTGGATAGAGCAGATTCTTGAACCTGACTGTATGGCTGCTTAACATAGCAATTCTTGTTTTT